AAAGAAAAAAAAAAAAAAAACACAAAGGTACTGAGCAAATATCACTGTGCAAAGTTTGCTAAGGAACTTTTCTATTCTGTAAACCAAAATCTGCTTATGCTTCCAGCCGCCAGCCGGGGGGGGTTGTATCGGTCAGCCAGGCTCCTGCAGGGACCAAAGCCCGCCAGCGCTGGAGGTGGGCTGGATGAAGCCCCCCACCAGGCACGGGCTTGCTCCGCGTCCCCCCCACGCCACCCCCTCCCAGGCACAGCAGCAGGACCAGCCTTGGGGCAGGCGCCTGCCAGGCTGGACCCACCATCGGGGGCTGCGCTGCTCCTCCAGAGCCAGAAGCACAAGGAGGGGCAGAGGGACACAAGGAGCGCGGGGCTCTATGAGATGAAAGGCTGAGGCTTTCCAGGCGGGATCACCCTAAAAAATAATTTCCAGGTGCATGGGAGGGGCAGCTTGCTGGCCCTACTGCAGGGACGGGTGCTGGCATATGCCAGCCCTGTCCCCGGGGATGCTGCGATATGCAAGGTCACGTCTTATGGCTCAGCTGGGGATGAATCCTGCCCCGAAAGCCAGGAGCAGAGAGAAGCTGCCAGGAGGAGCCGGCTGAGCCCAGCAGCATCGCTCTGCCCCTGGTAGGAGTAGGGCGAGACGGGACGGGTGCTCCGGGAGGATGCTGGCAGCACAGACCGAGGCGGCGCCAGCGCTGATATGGCAGAAGCGAGCACAGAGGCGATCTTATTCCCTTTTTTCAATCGAGGAGGAAAATAAACTACCTAAGGTGATGCTTGGGGCCGGGAGGGGGGTACGGCAGTTTCCAAGCCCAGCAAACCTGGAAGGAGGAGGGGCGGGGGGAAGGATAGAGACAGACCCTTCTACAAAGCTATAGGCAGGCTGCCCCATCACTTTTCCAGTTCTTACAGAGGTTTATGGAGACCCACCTCCCACATAACGCACCGACTTTATGGCAGGAGGGAAGGGCAAGCCAGTATGAAAATCCTTTTACAGAGAGGAGAAACAAAACCCAAAAGAAAAAAGGACAGAGGAGGGGAAAGAAAAGTTGGCAATGGGAGGTACGCTAAAGTGCATTAATATTCCCAGAGGGTGGAGGCGTCAATGGCGTCGGCAGATGCCTTGAGGACCCCAGCATGGTCACCCTTCAGGTATTTGCCATTGATTTTGATAGCCACTTTGTTATAGTCGCAGAACTCAAAAAAGAAGTCCACGGGGGTGTCGCTGCTGCTGGTGACGGATGACTCACTCCCCACCATCCAGTACTTCCCAGTGGCATCTGCAGGCAGAGGGAGAAGGGACAAGGTGGCCCTGTGAGCTACCACAGGGACCCTAATGGCCATCACCCCCCCAGCCTGTACCCACCCCCAGGGACTCACCCTTGATGTTGTAGGCCCCGTCGTTGAACTCCAGCTGGAAGACGTCGTAGGAGGAGCGGTTGGAGTCCAGGGTGCCGGTCACCTTCCGGCACCCAATGAAGCCGTGCTCACCGCGGAGGACGATGATGGGCCTGTTGATCAGCTTCATCACAAAATGCTCCGTCTCACCTGTGCCAGAAGGGAGAGGGGCCGTGAGAGTGGCCTGGGGGGCGCAGAGCCTGGACCCCACAGCTGGCAGGCAGCAGTGAGGGGGGTGGGCTGTGCCCCCGGCCCATTTCTCACCCACCCCATCTGTCTCCCCATCCCGCGGCACCTGAAGTGGTGCAGCCATTAAGAAAAACTTATTGCCTGCATCCCTGACCATCGCTTGGAAGAGGAGCCTGGCTTGGGGAGGAATTGCCCATCCCCTGCCACCCCAACGCGGGGGCAGGGGTCCCTAAGGGGGTCCGCTCCCTTACCCGCCGTCTCCATGGAGGCCGCCAGCTGCCCGTTCTTCTTTGCCGTCACGTACTTGCCGTTGGCAGCTTTCAGGGTGATGCGCTTGTCGCACCATTCGATGTCGAAATAGCAGCTCGCGTTCCTGCGGGGGCAGAGAGGGCAGTCAGCAGGATGCGACAGACAGGGATCCTGCTGGTGCCACCCCACCAGCTCGGAAAGGGCCATGGCTGGATCGGGAGACCCCGATTCGATCCATTTTTGCAGGATGAGCCACATCGTGGTGGCCATCCCAATGGGAAGTGCTCACCCCGCAGGCAGGAGGCAGGCAGGCAGCCAAATGCACTTTTGGGGTTTCCGCCCGGCTCTCAGCTAGCATAGGGTTGAACTGCAGGGTAAAGCATTTCGACAGCCCCAGCCGGCCAGGATTACGTGGCCCGAGGGACTTCCCGAGCATCGTGGGCGGCAAGCCTCAACCCGGCCCCGACTCTCCGGGGAATTCACTGCTTTCACTGGGAAGCATTTTGGGGCAAGCGCCTAGGCTGGAAAATCCCCCTTAGATTCCCCTGGGAGATGCAGAGAGGTCCCCGAAGCCTAGGCGTGGCCCAGAGCCGCCGGGGACAGGGGACTCACTTTGTGGAGGCGGTGGACTGGATGCCCCCGTTGGAGGTGAGGGTCCAGTACTTCCCAGTGTAGGTCCTGAAGGCGCATTTCTTGGTGTCCTTGTTGATCTCCAGCTGGTAGGTCTCCTGGTCACCCTCCTCGTCTTGGTTGGCCGAGAGGTCCATCCCTGCGGGGCAGAGGCACATGGAGGTGAGTGGCACCGGGGGGGGGACCCCAACCCACCTCCAGCGGGTGCGGGGGCAGCCCAGGAAACCCAATTGAGAGGGGCTCCTGCTCCCCTGGGTGAGCTCTGGGGACTCCCAAATCCCTCACACACATCTCCCCTCTGGCACTTTGGGTTCAAATCCAGGTTTTCATTTGGCTGCTCAAGTGTTAAGGCCATAAATGAGGGCTGGCCTGAGCTGAGGCAGCCATGAGCTTCAGCTCAGGACTCTCCGGCTCCATCACGATTAAGCACCAAGCAAAAGCCAACTTAGATATTTCACACTGAAAAGGGCTGTAGTTTTTTCCCCGAAGGTGACAGCCAGGTTATTCAATCCATTAGCAGAGGCCACCACACCACCTATGAATCACCAGCTCGTGGCATGTTTAAGGACCGTGGCACTGTTTTTCATCCATAAATTGTCACAACTCGTTGGGGCGGTGAGGTTTGCAGGGAGAGGAGGCTCGGGAAAGCTCTGGGGCAGCCAAGCCTTTCCCTGGCTCCCAAAAAACCATCAGCACCAGCCTGTCCCCCAGCTCTGCCAGCCAGGATGACCTGTCCCTACACCAAAGGGACCAGAGACAGCAATTTTTCCCGGCAGCCTCGGAGGTGGATGCAGCCAGTCCCGGGGCCACCGGCCACAGTCCTGGGGCCACCGCCAGCCCCCCCGGCCACGTGCACATCCACCCACAGGCACTGAGCCCAAGCAAACCTGCTTAGTCAGGGCTAGCGGGGCCAAATCCTCTCCAGCGCTCTCCCGCTTGGTGGATTTCTGCCTAAAAATACTTTTGGGATGCGAGTCACAAGCTGTAGCCTGGAGCCAAAGCAAAGCGGCTGAGCTGCCATGCCGGGTTTTGGGGAGGGAGCTGAGGTGCGGTGCTCACCCTCTTCCCTGCCTACCTACAGCTGGGATGAGTGGAGACGGGCCCCAGTACCACCAGTGGGGCATGGGTAACCAGTGAGAGCAGCCCGGGAGCGGACGGCAATACGGACTATGGTTTAGTAGAACCAGACGAGTTTTTTAGAGCAGAAAGCACCCACGTCCCTCCCCTGCTGCATGGGTGCTACAGGCTCGAGTCCAACCACGCACCTGGTCCTGGAAAGGATGCAAAGCGTGCATGCAACCGTTCTGCCCAAATCTGCCTTTTCCTGGAGCCAAGAACCTGCTCATGGGACTGGCAATGTGTTCAGCCCCTTGCACCTCCATGGTGCATTGCCTCCCAGTTTCTCAGCTGCTGGGATTTCCAGTACCACAATACACGGTCGCTGGGAGGGCTTCAGGGACTTGGTGGCCCTTCTGCACTGGAAAGCCACCAGCAAGTCCTACCAGCTGCACCCAGCAGGTGCTGACCCACCTGGGGAGGGACCATCTACCTCCACACACCAGCTATGGGCCTTGGAAACAGAGATGTCTTCCCCCAGATCCCACAGGCAGGGCAGACACAGCTACCTGGTGGCTTCCCATCACCCCATCTGCATCTCCAAACAGGCACTGGTGCCCAGTGGCCCCGAGGGAGCAGCCTCTGCTTTGCATATCAGTCGCCCACTTTTCCCAAAGGGATTAGGCTTTGAAGGTTTTTCTTTGTTGGCTGTAATCTTATCTCCCACGCCCAAATTGCCCTATGGCTGCCACACCGCTGCCTGTTCGCAGCATCCCCTCTCCCGCCAGGCATCCTCCAGCACCTTCTGCAGCTCCTGACGGACACGCAGCCACCCCCTGCTTTGCTCCCCAGGGTACTTGGGGCAGCGCGGGGGGCAGAGGGGTGGCTGCACGGCCACCAACCCCGGCCCTACCAGCCAAGCCCTTGGCTTGTGTGGTTGCCCCACTCTCGCCGCCTCCCAGGGCTACCGGGGGCCGAGCCAGCAGTTGGTGGAAACATTTGGTTTTGATTTTGCACCCCCGCCGGGAAAGCAGTGCCGTGGCAGGCTGCTCCAGCTCCTCTTGAGAGCCGTACGACTGCCTGCTCGCGGGAGCTGAGCAAGAGAGGGGGAAGAGGGTCTCTGCGGGGGCTCCTGGAGAGGGACTGGGATGCAGGAGGGGATGCTGGGGGGGGGGTTGGGGGGGGGGGGGGCTGGGAAAGCAGGCTTTTAGGTGAGGATGTCCCTGACCTGCAGGCGATGGGGAGAGCCTGGGGGGACGCCTTGTGCCGCAGAGCAGGATTGGATGGACCAGAGATGGGGCCTCCCGACACGTCCCCTCTCCCCCAGAGACGCCCACTAAGGAGCACAGTGAACCGACCAGCCTCCCCGCACCCCACGCCATGCGATTGCCCACGCTCCTGCCGTTGTGCAGAGGTCTGGCTTTCCCTGGTGCCTTGCAAGGCCCGGCGGCAGGAGGGTCTCCCACCGCCCCCTCCCCGAAAGCAGGGCTGGGTTGGGTTACATCGACTCAGCAGAAAGGAATGCAATTACAGCTGGGGCAGAAGGAGGCTTCAAAGGGCTGTAACTGAGCCGGAGCAGGAGGTTTGGGGGGTCAACGGCGGTAGGACCATGGCAGATCCAAGAGAGATGTCCCGTCTCCTGGCAGTGGAGGACAGAGGCTGTCCCTCCAGCCACCCCCAGCCACCCCCAGCCACCACCCCTGCTTTTTGCAGCCCAGGGCTGTTGCAGGGAGCTGGCGTCTCCCGCAGCGCCCAGCCGAGCCACTGCCGCTCCAATCACGCTTTAATTACCGCTCTTGGTAAATTTACAGACTGGAGCCAGCACAACTCTGCCTGACCTTGACGAAGCTGCTAATTACAGCTGGAGGCGGGAGGGGGGCGAGCACGCCACGGCAGGGAGGCACTTCGGGAGGGGCAAGAGCGGAGGCACGCCTGTGCCCCCAAAAATTCCCCGTGTGGGATGGCCTCCAGCTCCATCTGCAACACGGGTTTGCTACAAGGGTCTTGGGGAGGATGGGGAGGCTGGAGGTGGGAGCAGTTCCCGCCCCAGGGCTTCCTAACACCGAGCCCCCTCTAAACAAAGCCCCTGGGCTGGAGGTCCCTGGAGAGGAGAGCTGGGGAAGGGTGATGGGGAGGAGAGCCAGTGCTGGGGAAGGAAAGGGCTTCCCAAGTCCTCAGCTGCCAAGGTTTCCAGCCGCTGCCAACCCCTCGGGTCTGCAGGATCGATGCCCCAGCCCTTGCTGCTCTCCAGCCCAGGACAACAGATGAACATGGAGGCCTGTGGCCATCCCAGAGCATGCACGTGCCTACCCGCACCTCCCAAAGAGACAAGCTTCTCCATCTAAAGGAGCAGCAGTTTGCTGTGGCTGTGCCAACCTCCATGCCATAAGGGGCTGCAGTCCCAACACAGGGGGACATTTACAGCATGCAAAAGACTTTCCCTCTATATTAAGTTCACGCAGAGGGTGTCCTACGAGCCATCCTGGGATGCTGGTGAGACCCAGTGGGACACACTCCATGGACAGGAGGCCAAGAGCCTGGAGGACCACGGCCAACCGGTGGGACAAGCCAGCTGGAGCCCAAACCCACGGGGGGCAGACCCACACATCGGGAGCTGCCTGCACACGGGCTCTGCTTGCTGCCTTTCACATGGCTGGGAGTCGGCAGGGCCTGCAGGCAGCTGCCAGCCCTGCCCAGCACCAGGAGCAGACGGGAGGCTGCACCTTTCCCATCCTCCAACTCCCCAGCGGCCAAGAGGCTCCTTTCCAAAAAACCCACGGTTATGCCTGAAAAAAACTGAGCCTGTCTTCCCTCCGAGGGAGCGCCGGTAGCACCCCGAGCCCTTGTGGGTGGCAGAGCAGGATTTTGGGTCCTCATGCCCCAGCAGCCAGGGTGGCTGCACTCAGTTCTGCCTGTGCAGGTCGGGTCCAGTCTCCCTGCAGGGCCCTGGCACCCTCCATCCCACGCTGCAGCCATGCAAGTGCCCCAAGACTTGTCTCATCCTGCCCTTCGGACAGGCTTATGTTGCACCCGTACAGAAATCCAAGCATGTTTTTGTCCAAAAGCAAAGCCTGGAGCACCCAGGGACCATGCAGCTCCTCTGCTGGAGGTGCTGCTCTGCAAGGGGGTCACGGGTGGGGGTGAAACACGGATTTCCTCTCCTTCCCTATGGATTTCCTGTGGCTTTGTGGTATCACCAAGTGCCAACACGCCACTCGGCATCTCCGGATGAAAACCTGCCCCCAGCCGTGCCCCCAGCCCTGGAGCCACATCTCCCCACCTCGCTGTGTGGGGGGAGAATGGGCCACGGCTGTAGCCAGTACCAACCCGCCCCACGCCAGGAGGACTCCTGGCCCCAAAGCAGAGCTCCTCGTCGTCAACCTGGCATGCCCAGGCATGCTCCCGTCACCGCACTGCTCGCTCGCCCCCCCCTCCCCAGACCCCTTTTCCCAAAATGCTTCGCTCCCAAGTCAGCCCATCCTCTCGCCCCATATGGGTGGGGGAGGCAGGCGGCACACCTCGACCGGGCAGGGGGCTGGCAGGGGCCCAGCAGAGCAGGGAGGATGCCAGCACTCTGCCCCCGGGGACCCTCGCACCCACAAAGGGCCTTTTGTTGCCGCAGCCGGGGCTAGAAAGGAGCCATTGAGCCGGGGAGGAGGCTGCTTTCTGCTAGCAGCACCCCGACTCAGCTCCGTTTGAAGGTGCAATGGGGAGATGGGGGCTCTCATGGAGCCCAGGGATCCCCAGGGACCCCATCCTTCTGCAGCTGGAGGCAGGGGAGAGGTGCCAGGGCCACCCCCAGCCCCAGTGCGGAGGCAGGGCTGGCACCCACCTCATGTCCCTCCCCCGGATTGCTGGCATTGTGGTCCCCAGTGCCCTGTGTGCAGGGGATGGTGATGTCGGCCATCCCGGGGACACGGAGGAGGCTCCAAGCCAGGAGCTGACTCGGCACTCGTGGGACAGCGCTGTTCCAAGGCTGGACCAGCTCCAGCTCCCAGCCAGGGGAGCCACAAAAGCCCCGTGGCCCCATCCCCGCTCCTCCCGTGGGACAGCGGGGGGACAGCCACTGCCATCCCTGCTCCCCCCTCGACCCCACACTGGCATGAGCTGCCTTTTCCCACGAGCCTGTGCCGAGCCGCAGCCGCTCCCTGCCCACATCCCGCATCCCCGGCAGCCTCCGGCGCATCTGCCAGCAGCGTGGCGCTTATCAGCTCGGCAGGGGGAAAGGGCTGTCTGCAACCGCTTCCTCCGACGGCTGTTTTTTCGGCTGCCTTCTCGGTAACCTTGGGACAAGGCTCTTTCCCGATGGGAGAAGGGAGGGCGAGCTCCAGAGAGCAGCAGCTCTCAGCCTCCCGCTGCTGCCGGGCAGGATAAACCGGGTAGAAATGGCTTCTCCGGCCAAAACGGACTTAAGCGAGGATGTGCAGCCCCGGCGCACCCCTCCCCGCTGTGTTTTGCTTGGAAAAGGGCCGGGCACAGCCCAGAGCCCCCTGTTGCTGGGGAGATTTGTGCCCCCCCCCGCCTTTCCCACCCCCCCATCCATCCCGAATCACACAAAGCCGGCGGGTCCGCCAGCTCCCGCCCACGCCACGGGGTCCCCCACCGCCATCCCATCCCACCGTGGGGGACCCCAGCCTGCACAACTCCCCCCTGCATCTGGTTTTCCCATCTCCGGTGACAAAGGGCTGCAGCAGCCCTTCCCCCACGGCGCTGCGGCCGCCCCCCGCCATTGCCATCCTCCTCCTCTTCCACAAACCCCTGCGCCTGGGTAAATAGTCCCCACTGCCCATCTCTGCAAGCATTTTTGTTTTTAAGGGGCTGCTTTGCAGCGCAGGATTTGCTCTCAGAAAGGAGAAAGGCAGTGAGCTCCCTGCAAGGAGCTGCCCAGGCATGGACAAGAGTTAAGCTGCAACCTTGAAATATTATATATACACACTAAAAAAATTCCCCGCTGCTTGTCCCTCCAGGCTTTGCTGCAGCAAGACATGCTCGCACCCATCCCGCGCCCGGCGTGCGCCGGCCTGACTTGGCACGCTGGTGATGTGCCCCGGGGCTCCCACACCAGCCTGGCCGCGGCAGGCAGCCGTGCACCTCCAGCACCGCCCTGCCTGCAGAGCAGGGACCCCCCGTCCTCCAGCAAGCACCCCTCAAGCTGGGGGGGGCAGGATGCACGCTGGGTGCTCAAAGGCGGGCGGGCGGCCATGTGCCCAGGGAGCTGCGCCGTGTGGCCATGACGCTCGAGGCCAGCGGCGCGGTGGCCTCTCTGGCGAGTGGAGGGGACGCAGCAGGCGTGGAGGAACAGCGGCCTTTGTGCGGGGGATGCGGGTCACGGCTCGACGCGGGTATTTTGGTGAAGCCATTTGTGTAACACTGCCAAGGCCAGGGGGGTGGGCGGCACCCAGCCCCTCACCCACTGGAGAACGCAGCCCCATGGGGGGAACTACAGCCCCACGGGGGGACGCAGCCTCCCAGGGCCCCGCTCTGCAGGGCGCACGGCTCAGCGATGCTCGGGGAAGGGGGAGTTTGACGGAGGCTTTGTTGGGTGAACAATGAGCTCCGCAGGTAGGAAGGCGACGGATGGCAGCCCTGCCTCCTTCACGGCAAGGGAAGACCCCATCCACCCCCCCACAGCCCCCCATCCATGCCTGCACCCCAAGGCAGGCCCCTCACCATTCCTCCCCCACCCAGGGTGCCCTGGGGAGGCGATGCTGCAGGGATGGGGGTGCCGGAGGGATGGGGCCCCCAGGCAGGCGATGCTGGAGGGGGAAGGGAGAGGGATGTGGGAGGGGTGCGGGGGGATGATGATGGAGGGACTGGGGGAGGGACCACGGGCAGCCATGCCGGCGGGGTGCAGCGGGGTGCCCTGGGGAGAGGGTGACTTCAGGGGAGGGGTGTAAGGACGCGTGTGAGAGGGGGTTCAGGCGTGGGGGGAGAGACCCTGAAGGGGTGACGGCAGAGGGATGCAGGGGGGCACCCTGTGGGGGTGCTGCTGCAGGCAGGCAGGGGATGCTGGAGGGACGGGGGGCTGCCGGGGGGGCGCTCCGAGGTGGCGATGCTGGGGCGATGCAGGGGATGCGGAGGCGGCGATGCCCGAGGGACGCAGGGGGGGCAGCCCGGGGCGGGCGATGCCCGAGGGATGCCGATGCCGGAGGGATGCAGGGGCGCACCCCGGGGCGGCGACGCCCCAGCGACTTCGGGGCGGCCGAGGTGTGCGTGTGCGTGTCCCATCCCCTCGTACCTTGCCGGGTGGAGACATTCCTGTCGTTGCCGGCCCGGAGCACGACCTGCGGGCAGCTCTGTTCGAGGGCGAAGAGCTCGTCCTTGCCCACCTTGGCGCTCTTGCCCGCCTTCAGGGTGCCGCTGGGTCCCGAGGGGGCGAGGTAGCGACCCTCCCCGTCGCGAAAGGCCACCTTCCCGCAGCGAAACTCGAGGGTGAAGGCGGTGCCGGGCTCGGCGGCGGGGACCAGGCGGCCGTCGCAGCGCAGCAGGCGATGGTCGCAGCTCTGCAGGCTGTAACGCTGCTCCACGAAGAGGAGGGTGATGAGGGCGTCCACGCCCCACGGCACGTCGCGGTCCACGGCCAGTTCGTCGCGGCGAGGTCCCAGGTGGGCGTAGCGCTTGCGGGCCAGGCTGTAGAGGTTGGCCTGGGGATGCATGGCCAGGTGGACGCTCCATTTCTCGGTGGCCGAGACGGCGGGGGCGAAGCAGGAGAGCCGGTCCTCGGTGCCGCCGAAGAAGCGGCGGTGGGGCTCGGACTGCAGCGACCAGCGCCCGTCGCCGTGTGCCACCACCAAGAAGCGACAGTCGGGCCCCGGCTCTTCGCTGTCGCAGCTCACCCGGCCGTCCTTGTCGGCTGCCAGGTACCGGCCCAGGTGGCTTTTGAGCAGCACGGCGCTGGAGTCCTCCCCGTCCTGCTCCAGCGTCCAGATCTGCTTCTTCTTCATGCTGGCGGCCGAGGCGTTCACCTTAAAGCCGAAAGCCTCCGCCGTCAGGTACTTGTTGCTGCAGTTGATGAGCCCGAACTGGA